ACAAGCTGCGTCAGATCCCTGACTAGTTATGCAAATTCTAACACAAAAGAGAACATTTAGGATTTGAAGGTAGCTAAGGTGAAATCGGCCATTAAATCCAGGATTCTTCACACACCTTCTGAGGATGTTCCTAGAGAAGATATATCTAGGACTGTAAACGGCTATGCCCTCGACATGAAAAGTGATGTATTTAACGACTTCTTCCGACTCAACTATGAAATATTATGTGGCCTCGATGCTGTTTAAATCAATGACGGCAAATGCAAGGCTTTTGTGAATTCTAGGCTCTAACCCTCTGAGCTACGAGGTCTCACCCAGACGGGTCAGATTACCCATATACATCTAGCAAAATACTTTTCTATTAAGTGGACCTATTAGGCATCAGGCATGCATTGTTCAGGAAATACTGCTTGGGCAGTCAGCCTCCGCCAGGCTAATTGGTGGATGCTACATGTAAGACAGAGTTAATAAAACCAAGGCTTCCGGTCGGGGCCTGGTAACCCAGATGGGTAGCGTATTAACTGTAAAAGTGCCCAACAATTGCTGTTGAGAGTCAAAACGTCATCAAGATCACTGAGTTCTCCCCACTGAATTATGAAAATAAACCAAAAGATACACATAGCAACAAATACTTCTGTTTTCAGTTGCCTTGACCCTATGGCGCAGACTATATTTGATTCTTGAACGTGACAACTTAGTTCACAAATTGCATCAATTGTTTTCCTAAGTCAGGGTCAATTTTGAACTCCTTTTACAGCAAAGTGATGTACTTTTATGATCGAGGTGTCAAGGTCAAAAAACGACGACCAAAAACTAGCTTTGTAGTACTTCGCTACAGTTTTTTAAAATTAGTCTTCTCTTATTTAAAGAAACCCTCAGTCTCAGATACCGCTGAATGTCCTCTACAACTTCCTACTCCTTTTCTCAGACAAAAATTTTTGCATGAAATCTTGAGCCTCTGTTGATCTGTGGAATGGTGCAACAATTCTGTACATCAGAGGGTTCACGATGTCTCTGAAAGCAAAAAACGAAGAAGCTCGTTGCCTAGAATCTGGAGCCCGTGTGCGAGACGATTCAATCCGCCTTTACGCAGGTAACTGGGAAAACAGGAACAGTAAAAACGTCGTCCGTATTTCATTCGTATGCGAGAATGGGCCTTGCATGCAAAGTCTCACACAATGTTTAGCAGCCACAGATGTCGTCAAGACTCTTGGTTCATGGTACGGTTTTCTCAATTTATTGTGAAATCTATTTTCGCGACTCGCAGTGCTAATGGAAAAAGTTTATAATTCCGTCATTTTCTTCTCTTGAGTGCATTTCTTCCTCTCCTAAGGAAAATGACAGGCTTTTCTGCGATCAACCTCTTTACCACGAAGGCATAAGATTTCTCAGCGTTCTTCCTCCATGCATATGCCTCTCAAGACGCCGCGGCAAGACTGAGATACCATCAGAAGCTGTCAGCCCGTTCTCTACTGGTAGAATTTCTACAACAGTAAGCATAAGGAAGGAATATTTATTTGGAACGTCATGCTTTCAACGTTATTTTTACTTGCAGAGACATAAGGTATTGTTTAGTCCCATTTGGTCACAAGGGTTTTCTTCTGCCTAATTTAGTAAAGGTTGGGTTATTAGCAGTGGCGACCAGTATCATAACAAATAGCCAATAAAATAACAGTCACACCTGATTTTTCTTATTTGTATAGTCTGGCAGCATGGTATAGCTTCATTGTTTTCATATGGAGGTCTACAGGAAACTTCCTTTAAGAATACTACTGTGGCCAGATTCTGGGTGCTTTAGAGAGCTTCCTTTTATTTATGAATATTTTTCTTCTGAAGCCTCTGATGTTTAATAATGGTCACCTAATTAATGAAATTTTAGCAATAACTTTAATTTTGTCATACGTTAACTGAAATCTGGCCTATGCCTAAGATGTACAATTTAACATGGGGACAGGGCTTGTATTTATCCCTAAAGGTCTATATGCACTTTTTATTCCGCTCGCCAAAATAGTCGCAAAGTTTTTCACCTTCGGAATTCGGGGCATGATATTATTCAAGATTATGTTAGGAGGGGTTTCCGTACCTCAGTATTACATATTTATATTATCACAATCGTTAAATTCTAAACCTAATTAAAAAGTTCACTTGGTCAAAGTTTCATTAAGTCTACTTTTTGAAGCTACACAAAATAACCGCCAGCAACGTGTTGATATAACATATGTGCTCAAAACAGCTTCAGAAACAAGTCTGGTCCTTTAGCGATGGTCTTTATTTCCGCCCAAATTGTCTGCACTCTCAGAAAATGGGGCACAGTTTATTTATTCATCGGTTTGAGAATGATTCTGTATATAAATATATTTGAAGATAACATGTAATATCGATTGAAATTCCTTGAACAGTAACATGCATCGTTCGTCAAAACTGCCTTTACCAGTTCCGTCTAGTTGGGTGCATAAAATCCTACACGCGATTGCCGAGTGGGTGTAAAGTATGTTAGACAAGATAGGTGTATTGATAATCAATTGTCCTGACAAACTGATATTTCAACATGAAAAAGAAATTTAAATACGCAAAGATTATCAATATGCAAATGTTCTCGAATCGATTTGCAATGTTACTTCTTCATCGGACTTTCATTCTTTGAAAGATTGTGCAACCAAATTTATCCTATCGTTCTTCGTCTTAAATAATCCATGCAGCCAATAATATTTAAGAGCATACAAGAAAATTTTCTCTCAGACGTTTAGACTGGCATCGAATTTCACCCAAATGCATTTATTTTTGTCCTTATAACTGGACTGAACTTGGACTCTCTGATAAAATCCTTCGAAAAAGAAAAAAATATTTGGGGGCTACCGCAATATATGCAGAACTACTGAAATGACTTTAAGGATCAGCAAAATCGTAAGCGAGGTGTGCATGAACCCTGTATTATTTTATTAAGCATGGAAAAGATTACAAATTCATGGTGCATAGGAGAAAGCATCCTTTTTAGGTTTCGGACATTTCACCGTAGTATTGGCAGGTTACACATACTATTTTTAATTGGTTCCGGCAAAATGACCAATCAGAACACTGTGCCGGTATGTTGGCACATTTAGATTCTAGTAGCATATTTGTCGACGAATACACAAACGTATGCATACGTAATTGTCGATACTAAAGGACACACTACGCCGTTGCATGTGTATGTACCTAGCTGTCTTATAACCTCGGCGAGGTAAAAACTATGAAAATATTAGTGCTCTTTTGCTTTTCATACCTTGCCGCACATGTTTGCCTGGTGAACTCGGAGCACATTCTCGGAACGACTAACCTTCCATTGCCTCAAGGCGGCACCCTGATCGGTTTAAATTACCAGATCTATGATGAAAACCACCAATAC